CGGCGGTAACAACAACGGAGGCAACCAAGACAACCAGAACAATGGAAACCAAGGCGGCAACAATGGAGCCAACAACGGAGGAGGGAGCGGCGGCGCGTCGAGTGCCACAGCCCTTGGCGGACTCGCCGCCCCAGCCGTCGAGGACTCGGGCGACAGCAACAGGCCCTTCCGCGTCAACGGCGACACTTTCACTGGAAAGGACACCGCCGTCGGCAGAGCTTGCGACGTGCAGAGGAACGCCTGCTTCGACGCCGTTAACTCTGGCCAGGCTAATGGATTCACGGGGGGAGATTGCGACAACCAGCGCAGCGCGTGTGTCACTGAGCTCTCCGCTTAGACACGCAGAAGAAGAGAGTAATGTGTCGGACTGAATGGCCCTGTATATTAACTATAGCCCCTTGTTAGTATGTATCTATCTATATAAACATGAGTCCGCGTTCAACTACTCTTATTCTATTCTGCTGAGACGTGGACGTAAACAGCCCTGCGAACGACGAGCGGAAGATCGCCACCCTCATGGCGGCTGACAGCGCGGATGTCGAGCGGGAGTGTCCGTTGCTAGCTTCGTAGGTTTGGAGTGCGAGCACGCGAGGGAATAAACCAAAGGTCGGTACTAGCTATGCTGTGGGCGTCGGAAGTGAAGGGGATACCTCAAGGGTAAAAAGTTCAGTAAGCCAGGGGTTTGGCGCCATGATTCCAATGTATCAGCTACGGCTTCAGCTCTAGGTCACCGAAAGAAGCGTAGCGTGTCACGTAACGCGTCAAGAGTCGCGTCGTCATGTTTCTTCATTTCCACCTTTGGCCTCGAGTTCAAGTTGTGTCCGCCATGCCCATTTGAACCTACCCTCACCCTGAGTGTCCGATGTCATTGCCACGGCGAACACGGAGCTTGCACCCCTGACAGCGGCTTGGGATAAAAGTGTCTATCGCTGGCTTTTCTTGCCCACACGTCCTGTGGTCACGCTGTGGACGACTGCATCTCTTTTCGCCCGTATTCTTTTGTGACGCCGCGGTAGCCTGAAATTCTGCAGCAAAGATGCAAGGAGCCCCTCGCCTTCCTTGGCCTCGTCCTTATTGATCCGATGTTCATCCTGGAGCGTGTATGTGCGAAACGCGTCGAGATCTTGCCAAACCATAGCCGCCGAGCCTGTCCGCCGTGCATCGATAAGGTCCACAATGTTGACGAGCGTGCTCTTCAGGTGCTTCTTGCACTCGTCAATAGAGTCGGCTGGGGAAATGCCAATCTCATCACAAAGGTCTTGGTACCCCTTCAGTTTCTGCTCATCGGTGAGTGGTTCAGGCTGCTTGTTGTTGGAAGCCATTGTCGGGGGGGTGAAGTAGAGCGACGTTAACTCCTCCCGCATGGCAACGGTGCGTTCCCGTGTGTACTCTTGCGACCCGGGGACCCATTCTTGAGACGACGCTAGGCGACCAAACTCACGGTCGAAGGACGCACTCTCATCGGGTGTAAAGTGGTCTAATGTAGCGAAGTACGACTGTGATGCTGGTGGCGGGGGCTGAGATGAAGACGGCGGGAGATTCGGAGACTCTCCACCAGTCGCCATTGCGGATTTGGGTATCGTGCCAGAGACCTTGTGAATGTGAATGGTCTGGTATGGTATTGAAAAGGCGCAGCGGCGCGATAGGATGACGGGCGCGTCGCGAAGTCTGAGGTCCAGCCGCGTAAAGTGCCTTGTCGCGCCGCTGGCGATGGAACAATCAGGGCCGGGATCTGGACCCGTTAGTGACTGCCAACTGAGACACATGTGAGATTACATTACCTACCCTAGAATGGCCAGTTTACGACGTGGGCCAGCTGAAAGCAGGCGACGGGCACAATTGTCCGCGGTTGTACAACACGTGCAATTGACATCAACAACAACAAGTCTCCAACGAGTCCAACCCAAGCGCACGGTTCCACTGGGCTCCGGCAACCCACGCCCGATCCTGAAGACGCACCGTGCCAAGAACTCCCGCCGATCCATCTGCGCATGAGCAGGTCAACTCCATCGCCGACCTTGTGGAGGCATTCAAAAGCGCCCCAATTCTAGTTTGTCAGCCGATGCACGTCTCTGCCGGCGGAAAAGCCGCTTGCCCCAGAATGTTGGATGCCGGTGTCGTGGAAAACATGGGCTTGGTGGGGCTGTAGAGATCCTCAGGAACCAAAAAGAGGAGAGTCATCCCTGTGCCACCCGTTGTTCTTGTGGGCGTCGAACGGCTGGCCCTGTTAGATCCGATATTTGAAAGTCGCGTTCTCGACGGACGCGAACCAGACTGGAACCAAAAAGACCTGACATTGGTCTTTTCGTCGGTGATGAGCTCATGGGAATGGCCAAGAGGCGTTCGACGATGCGAGAACACAGCATCCTGCCAGGCCGTCCGTGAATTCACGGTTTCTCGACCGTGCCTCGTCAAATCCTGGGACCCATCGGGTAATAATTTCGAGATCCGCGTCTCGGGCCGCGCCGGACTCACCTAGTGTAGCGGTTATCTTAGTAGTGTCCGTTAACGGAGCGACTGATGTCGTCGTCGTGGTCCAGTCAGCTGCAGGTTCATGTTCACAGCGGCGCAGCGGTGGCTTCCGACTTGGCCGCTCTAGTCAGCCTCATGATGCACGTGGCACGGCAACTGATTGGTGGTCTGTTCTGGCAGGGCTGAAGGAAGGCCTCGAGTCTCGCTCTCGCACAGTCGGCACGCCCCTCAGATTCCGCCTCCTTGACAAAGGTGATGTGAACAAGACGCCGGCTATGGACAAACGGCCGCACCAAGATGGCGGGCCCGATCTGAGCCATTCGAAGCGGATGAGAACCGCACACCACTTTCATGTTCCCAACTGCGGCGCGCGTGGGCACCAGGAAGCGACCCCCCCGCCCGGGCACAAGCATTCGGATTACACCATCGCCTGGATCTGCGCGCTTCCGCTAAAAACTGGCGGCGTCTCGCGCCATGCTGGACGAGGAGCATCGATTGCTGCCCTTGCAGCCCGGCGACGAAAACATATACGTTCTCGGACGCATCGACAGGCACAACGTCGTCATGGCGTGCCTGCCCGGGCACTACGGGACGAACAACGCTGCCATCGTCGCCACAGACCTGAAGCGCAGTTTCCCGAGTATCCGCGCCACCCTCATGGTCGGCATAGGAGGCGGGGCGCCCGCCATGGCCGATCTACGTCTCGGCGACGTCGTCGTGGGCACGCGGGTGATGCAGTACGACATGGGCAGGGACGTGTTACGACCCGACATGCGACCGCATGCGCCTCTCACGTGCACCCCACTTTTTCTCTCCAATCAACACAACTACGCGTCATGCGTATAAGTAGACGACCGTAGCCGCCATGCGCCTACAGTCGATTATACCACAACCCGCCTATAGACGACAGTCGTCTACACGCGACTACACACGATCACTCTAGTATATAGGAAGCCTAGCTTCACCATAGTCAGTCTCTACCCAGCTCCTCAGCTATCAATACAATTGTCTACGCAAGATCTACTATCTCGCACATAGACTATGACCCGACCGCTCAAGTCAACGATGTCCTAGTGTACTTAGTTCATGAACCGACTTTAGATCTACCTACCCTGTAGCTAGTCTGACCCGAACGTCACATATTGATAGCTCTTGTTCAGTACACTACCGTGTCAAGTACTTGAGCAATACGACACCATGGCTGGCGATTCCTCTAAGTCAACCTCTAAGTCCACCGACAAGGGCAAAGCCACGGCCAAGCATGCCGAGCCTAGCTAGACAGCTCAGACCATGGACCTGGACTCGGACGACTCCGACAATGAGGACACGAAGATCCTCAAAGGACAAGTCCGCGAGCTGCAGGGACAACTGCAACAAGTCCTTGACATGCAAGCTCGAGACAAGCAACAGTACGACGAAGCGTACAGATCCTTCAATGAAGGTATAACCTTACAACAACAACAGGCCACTCAGTTCATGAACCGACTTTAGATCTACCTACCCTGTAGCTAGTCTGACCCGAGCGTCACAGGACATCGGCGACGGCCGACGCTAAGGCACTAGCACGACTGCTGCTCTCGACCGTTACGGCCGTACGGGTAACTCGCGGCTGTGCTAGCTGAGAAGCGGTATGTGCCCATTCATTATGGTGCATGGTACAACGGAACTGGCTTGTGGCGGCCAAGCGTTCATAGCGACGTC